AATCCATAATTTGGCAGTCCTCAATGAAATGATTGTCCAAAGCATCTGTAAGATATTACATTGGGAAGGCTGAAATCTCTATCTCTATCTAGCGTACAGGATTCATGCAGTAGGGTATTAACATTAAGTACCGTATGTTTCCTCCATTCAAATGTTGAGCCAGTAATGGCAAGTTTATTATACAGTAGACGATAGATCTATGGGATTAACAATTAAGGTTGAAGGAAGATACTAAAAGACAGGTGAAGCACTGAACAGTGAAAATGATGAGTTTTAATTATGCAGACTGCTCATTCAATGGGATTTAGTGAATAATAATAGAATTAGAAGAGGAATAGATAATGATTGCTAAGGTACACGGTATCATTTGATTTTGATAATCACACATAACACATAGTTTCCTTGGTCTAGATCTGACATAAACCTACCACCTAAAAGTATTTTCATTGCTCTAAGGGTATGCCTATCTATCAAAGGCAAATGATTTATTTGCCTTTGTAAATGTGTTATTTATTTTTATACATTTTATTAGAAGTTTTTAAAAGAAGATTAAAAAAATAACCAAAACTAATGCAAAATAAGAAATAAAAGAGAAAGGAAGAAAAGGTGCAAAAAAGACAAGATAAAAAGAAGTAGAAAAGCTTTCTGATTTCCTTTGTAGCAAATGTAAGTATAATTACAAAAAAAATTCTTCCTCTGTGGTTACAAAAAAGCTCTATCTTTTTCTATTATTTATGTCTCCCTTTTTCTTTAATCAAAGAAGTCAATTTAGCCATCTCTGCACGTCCCATCATCTGCATCATCCATTCCTCCATTTTGGGCAGTACTGGACCTTTCCACTTTTGAGCAGTGAGATTTAATAATCTCACTGCAATTATCATATATATATAACGAAGTTCCATGACTTTTCTTCCAGCTGTTTATTCATCAGTTTCAAAAGAAAATCCTCTGGTTTCAATTGTCATCAGTCTTAGCAAATCTGTTACGTAGAAGGAGAAAGGAAAGGGGAAAAATATTGAGATGGGAAGGGTTAAAGAGCAGCCAAATAGAAAATTTATGATTAGAAATACATTGGACCTTTAATTTCATTTATACTGCTGTAATAATATTCACATCCATATTCCTAAAAAGCTTGGTATTGTACACTCTGCATATCTTTTGGCACTGGTGTTCCTGCTTGGGAAGAGAACAATTATAGTTGCCTTTAAGCTACTGTATTGTGTTATTCTCTTTGCCTCTTTGCTTCTCCTCATCTGATTTGCTGTGAATGCTGTACCTCTTGAAACTTGAAATGCTTCTTAGAATAAGAAAAATGTAATTATGCTCTAAGCAAATTAAAAGGCAGGTGGGTCTTAAGGAATATTCTTCTGCTAATCTTATTTAAGGAAGATAAATGTGGTGTTCTGATTCCTCTAACTAGTTTATTTCAATTTTAATGGATTTAATGGATAGTTTATAAAGGCATGATGGATGAAAAAGTGTTCTCAGCCTTTGTGTACTAATTCCTACCCCCACTTCCCTTTTTAATTTATTGTGATTTTTATCGCGGTAAAAGCATATTTATTAGATTGGAATGTGGAAATCAGGATTGAGGGGGAAAAGATTTATCTCAAAATAGAAAGAAGTGTCATGATTTAAGGAGCTTAGGGCAATCCACGGGAGACGGGAGAGCTTGTGCTTCATACAAATGGTTGTCCTTTTGTTTTTTGTGTGTGTTCCATTTACAGATAACTGCTGGATAGTGATGAGCGATAGTCTATAGGCAACAAGATGCGATTGCCACCACAGATGGTTCTGAAGAGAAATGATGTTTGAAAGGACAGTCTTTTAATAGTTCCTGTGTGGGGGTAAGTACATCAAGAATGAGGGTGGCAGGAGTTAGGAGGTAGAAAAAGAACAACAATGGCTTGTGTGATTTCAAAAGGGTAATATTGTACATACCTCCATTGAAAAAGAGAAGGTGTCACAAGTCAAGCTTATATGGTTTGATCTCCTTGAATATATTTTCTATCAGCCCTAACAGTAGAGTGTCACCAGCAATTGGCTATCATCAGCAGCAACCATGGGAAGTGCTTCTAAGCAGAATGTTCAGCTCAAGGTTGCTCATTTGTATCATCTGTCAACCAATTACAGGTGCCCAAGCCTTTTAGTTATCCAATACTTTAGCTAGCAAGGAATGATTATTTTTTTCAGGACAGGCATTTATATTAAAGTTCCTTATTATGACAATACTTGTACTGAGCATACACATAGTCAAACATTTCTTGCTTTCTCAACCTGTTCTTAAAGTATTGTTGAAGGATTATTATAGTATATTTGCAGTTTTTACTCTTTGTGAGCACCTTCAAGTCAGTGTTACTCTAGGCAACTGCCTGGACTAGACCCTTCAATGAGCAATTGGCCCGAATTCACACGGTGGTTTGTGCTCAAAGAGTGAATACAACTCATCGTCTCCCTGTTTCACTCTAAAATTAAAATTATCAAAACAAAAGAAAATGAGGAGAAATAGCTAATATTTATATACATGGGACAAAATATATTAGAATAATTCTGGGCAGTTGACTGTGCTGGCTGGGCATAAGGGAAATATAGAGCCACAACTTCTCCTGACTGTGTGATGCAGAGAAAAGAGAGGGTAAAATAATATTACACAGTTTTTCAATGCAAATGTGTTTTCCTACAGAGAAAATAGTTTCCTTGAGATTTGTTTATCCTGAGATTCATTCAGTTCAGTTAGATACAAGAAAGAGGGAGGTTGATGATGAGAAAGTTGTTTCTTTTCAGGAACATCTTTCTGCTAATGAATTTTGGCAACCAAGCCATCGTTTCCTTTTCATCTTATTCAGCTATGGGAATAAGAATTTCTTTGTTGGGCATCGATAAATTGGAGTTGAAATAATGTGATCTCATTGGACTGAAAAGAGATGGATGCCCTCATGCGGAATGTCAAGGCTGGCCTATAAAAGTTGGTCTCCAATAAACCAAGTATGATCCTCCCCCAGTCTTAGCATAGATGTGAAATAAGACTAGCATTGTAATAAAAGGTAAAGGTTCCAATCGCACATATGTGCTAGTAGTTCCCAACTCTAGGGGTAGGTGCTCATCTCCGTTTCAAAATCAAAGAACCAGTGCTGTCTGAAGATATCTCTGTGGTCATGTGGCCAGCCAAAGGCGCATGGAATGCTGTTACCTTCTCAACAAGGTGGTCCCTATTTTTTTACTTGCATTTTTACATGCTTTCAAACTGTTAGGTTGGCAGAAGCTGGGACAAGTAACGGGAGTTCACCCTGTTACATGGCGCAAGGGATTCGAACCGCTGAACTGCTGACCTTTCTGATCGACAAGCTCAGCATTTTAGCCACTGAGCAACCAAGCCACCACATCTTTTATCATTGTAATAGCTTTCCTCAAATTACTATCCTCCAGTTAAATTTCACCATCTCTTTCCTTTCTTCCTTCTTTCCTTCCTTCATATCACTACGTAATACAAAGAACAGTAGATTATGGCATCACAGCATTCTTTCTTCTTTTTTTTGTTGCATTTCACTGACCACACTACCCAATGCAGGATCCTCATACAATCCTGGACAAATGGCTATCCAGTCTTTCCTTCCCTAGATGGAGCATCTATGACTTTAGGAGGCAAGTTGTTCCATTGCTTAGCAGCTTCCACGGACAGAAAATTCCTTCTTATTTCAAATTTGAATCTCTTACTGTAGAGCTTCCATCTATCAGTTGCTTTGTAAAACAAATGCATACTATTTCTCCTGTGACACCTCGTCATGTATTAAAAAACTGATATCACATCTCCCTTTAGCCTTGTCTTTTTTAGGCTAAACATTTCTATAGGATTTAATTTATGCATCCCTTGGTCTGGATACTTTGGGATCAAGGCCTACTTATAGGTTGCATTTGCAGAATTATGGTCTGAGTCTTTAGATTTTCCCTGTATTGTAATCACTGAACTGATACCATATAAATTTAACCTATGCCAAGGCTTCCTGTGTCTTTGGTATGTATACATGGTGTTATTCCTTGCGGGCTGGTTGAAGACAGAGCAAATTCATAATCTACTTTGAATAACAATTAGACATATTTCATCCAGTAATTCAATACTTGATTAGCATGAGGTTTTGTCATAGAATAATTCAGTCGGAGATGCACATTAATGTTTTTGGGTCCATGTTTTGGCATGAAGGTGAAGTAATCCAGATGACCATGAAATGGCAGCAAAGACATAGAAAAATCTTAACTCTTTGCTCCCATCTATTGGCCATCAAGGGTTCTGCAGATTAGATGTGGGAACGGCTTGGCCAAAGAAAGGACACAGCATGTGTCTTCACAGCTTAGGGAGAGTGTGTCAGGTTACTGATCCGTCTAACCCAGTGCTATAAACACTGGCTGGTGGCATCTCCCTCTGATTTGAGACAGGATTTTCCACTCTCATCTGGAGCTGCCAAGTCTTCTCCATGTAAAGTGTGTGGTCTGTCAGGAAAGTTTTTGCCTTTTCAAAGAGTCCTGATGTATAGTGACACACCTGAAGTGTGAATTAGCCTGAATCCATGGAGTGCTAGGATTATTTGTGTGACCCTTAGATCTGTTTTTAGTCTCAGTAAATCTGTAGTGGATATGCCACGTTCTGATTCTGTGCCCCTGCTGTGAGGCTGGCCGACAGTAGTATACCTACCTCTTCTTCTTGTGCTACTGCTGTCATAGCAACCTGCTGTACCACCAGGCCTACCAAAAGGCCTGTAGTCTCTGTGTTGGTGTTCTCTTGTTGCTAAGCAACTGCACTGCTTGCTCCAGGCAGCCTTAGCATTTTCTTAAAAGTCCTTTCAGCCGCAACCTGCTATTCACTTCATAGAACCCAGCCCACCTTATGAATTCATAGATCTGCTGCTCTTTGTACTTCATATAATAAATGTCTGTGCAAAGAGATAAGAGTTTCAAGTTTTGGAAAAGTTGTTTCAGCATAGAAATCTTTTCCCAAACATGCCAATTGCTCACTGTCTTTTTTCTACTTTTACATTCCCTTGCAAATTGGGTTGTTCCGATTTTCATTTTTCACTCTCTTCATTATAAATCATTGAAGCATGCTTTCATTTCAGTCTATTATATCAATCCCGTGCCATCTAACATGCTTATAGCTTCAGTGGCTAAATCTTCCTTGCTTTTTAAAAGGATAAAGTTTGGGTTTGGTGTAATTTAAAATGGTTAGTTTCTCACTACTCATTTTATCACAATGAAATTTTTTTACAAAGAACCCAGATAACTTCATATTCTTCATATTCATATTCTGTTTTTTGCTTCCTTCAGTCTTGGTCAGTATTGCTCTTAAACCTCATGCAACATCAAGTTATCCAACATGAATTTCTGAAATTTCCAAGTAGCCCTTTAATTAGAGATACCTTGTTGCTTTTTTCTTTAAAGCAGCTTCTGCTTCTTGGTTCTCATTCTTAATTGGATTAATTAACCATTGTTTACTGAACTGACTTGGCAGTCCTAGATCAATTCTTAAGTTTCTGTTCCTTGCTGGGCGAGAAGGATAGGCTTAAATTGTTTGTGCAAATAATCCCTGAAGAGAAAAGAACATTCATTGATCTTGTTATTATACCTATGCAGTCTCATCTCGTATGAAATAGAGACTTCCTAGTGGTTTTCCAATGCTCATAAAAACTTATTTCCTACCTTTAAATAGCACAATGCCTAGATTCATGAAATCCACCATGCAAAGGGTATTGTAAAATACAAACTGAAAGGTTAAAAAATGATTTTGTTCTAAAAAAATTATTGGGATGCCTCAAAGGCAATCTTGAACCTAGATGCCACTTTTTCTATCTCAGGCATTGATGAAGTCACAGTTTCAACTATTGGCTAGGTAAATCAGGAACTTGTAGGAAGCAATGCCTGCACTATATGATCCTGCAGTTAATGACTTGAGTATTTTAATGACTTGGATCTTATGAAATAACCAAGAAATAGTATTACAACTCTTTTTCAGACTGGCATCTAAAGTCCATATTCTTCTTTGTTACTGATTTTGTTAGATAAGAAATTTTACTATTGACCTGGCATTTAATTTATTAAGGACATTCTTGTTGCTTCTTTGCTCTGCTGGAAGTCCGTGTACAGCAGTGTTTCTCAACCTTGGTAACTTTAAGTCCTGTGGACTTCAACTCCCAGAATTCCCCAGCCGCTGGGGGATTCTGGGAGTTGAGGTCCACAGAACTTAAAGTCGCCAAAGTTGAGAAACACTGGTGTACAGGTAGTCCTCGACTTATAACAGTTCACTTAGCGACTGTTCAAAGTTACAATGAGTCTGAAAAAGTGACCTATGACTATTTTTCACACTTATGTCCATGGTCACATGATTTACATTTGGATGCTTGACAAGTGGCTCACATTTATGATGGTTGCGGTGTCCCAGAGTCATGTGATCTCTTTTTGTGACCTTCTGGCCAGCAAAGACAATGGGAAAACCAGATTCACTTAACAACTGTGCAACCCTGCAACAATTGCAGTGAATCACTTAACAAATATGGCAAGAAAAGTTGTAAAATGAGGCAAAACTCACTTAACACATTTCTCACTTAACAACATAAATTTTGGGTTCAATTGTGGTGGTAAGTTGAGGGCTACCTGTATTGATTTACAACTAAAATATTTTTTTATAATTACATAGGGCAGTTCCGTGATATATTCAGCATACATTATGTGAAACACTCAGTCTTCATATTATGAAAAGTTCTGAATGTGCTAAATTACATGTTAGAGTTACACAGTTTTGAAGGGTTAGAAGTACTGAATGCTCCATATTTAGTGCCTGTTGTAACTTTTTGAAGTCTTTTGTTTTTGCTTTCAATTTCAGATCAAAATAGAAAATTATGATAGCTACTGGGGGAGTCATAACAGGACTGGCTGCCTTAAAAAGGCAAGATTCTTCCAGGTCCCAACACTATCTCAATCGTGCAACATCACCAGCTCCTGAGGAGCAGAAACCAGTCAAGCGTCGACCAAGGACAGATGTGGTTGTAGTCCAAGGCAAAATCCGGCTATATTCCCCATCAGGATTCTTCCTTGTCCTGGGAGTGCTGATTTCTTTCCTGGGAATTGCTATGGCTATTCTTGGTTACTGGCCCCCAAAAGACTCATTCCTAGAGCCTGAAGACAGCTTGTCACTAAACGAGACTCGATTAATAGGAAAAGAAGATGGGTTTATTATGCGCTTCCTTGAGCAGCATTTACATTCCGACAAAATGAAGATGCTGGGGCCTTTCACTATGGGGATTGGAATATTTATTTTTATTTGTGCAAATGCCATGCTCCATGAAAACCGGGACAAGGAGACAAAAATTATACACATGAGGGATATCTATTCCACTGTAATTGACATCCATGCTCTGAGAATCAGCGAGCAAAAGCAGCTGAACGGTGCCTACACCGGCTTAGCAGGAGAGAATGAAATCAAGCATGGTGGAAGCTCTTGTGCATCACGGCTGGCTGCAAATACAATTGCTCCTTTCTCAGGCTTTGCAAGCAACTTCCACATGGTTAGCAATGATGAAGAGGATGAATTTGCTGGAAATGAGACCAAGAAATCAATCCCAAATCTTATGTCACCTTTGCTGATGGAACACTCTGGTTCAGTCTTTGGCCTTTACCCTCACTCTGGGAAAGCCAGGGATGAAAGAAGCAGCAGCTCTCTGAAGTGTGAAACAAAATCGATTGTGTCATCTTCCATTAATGCTTTCACATTACCCGTAATCAAACTGAATAACTGTGTTATTGATGAGCCAAGTATTGACAACATCACTGAGGATTCATCAAGGAGTAGAGACAGACCTAGAAATTTGTCCATGGATTCTTTAGCTCTGCCATTAATGAATACCAGTGATAGCTACAAATCTGCCAGTGCTTTGTTACCACGGAACAATTTATATGGAGACTCTTCCTTCAGTCAGTTCAAATCTTCAATGACTCTCGGAGCCAGCACCGGACAACTCTTATCACCTGGTGCAGCCAGAAAACAGTTTGGGTCCAACACCTCTTTGCATCTCTTGTCTGCACATTCAAAGTCCCTAGACTTGGACAGAGGTCCTTCTACTCTCACTGTCCAAGTTGAACAAAGAAAACATCCAAGCTGGCCACGACTGGACCGGAGTAACAGCAAAGGTTATATGAAACTAGAAAACAAGGAAGATCCTATGGATAGACTTCTTGTACCACCAGCTACAGCGAAGAAGGACTTTACTAATAAGGAAAAACTGTTGATGATTTCCAGATCTCACAATAATTTGAGTTTTGAGCATGATGAATTTTTGAGTAACAATTTAAAGCGTGGCACTTCAGAAACAAGATTTTGATGGTCAGATGACTATGGTTAATATATTTGACAGTATTTATTTTATAAAATAAACATTTAAAACCCTCCCTTTCATTCCTTTACAGCACAATCTTGTTTTTATTGAATATTTCTCTCTGATTAAGATTGACTTGTGTTTGCTAATACTACTTTATTTCATCACCACAATGCCAAATGTTTAATGTTAAGTGGCTTGTTCATGAAAATACGGCCCTGACATAATGTTATTTGGTTAGTGATTGCATTAGGTGGTAATTGTATGGTGGATTAAGAAATGATAATGTCTTAATTTACAGCTACTATGTCACTTACCATTGTTCAGCATATTTGAGTGATCTAAATGTAGATTGTTTTCTAGTCATTTCTTCTTTGTTTCTACATAAGGATGTTTTGTTTTGCTTTGCTTTGTTTTTCATAGTTAAAGGTACAGTTGTAGCTGAATAAATAAGTTTCAGTGTTCAGAATCATCAGAGACTGCAAGTTTAAGAATGATGTTTTTGGCTCATGATGGAAATGGATGTAAAGAGTGCAGTACCAAAGTCATATTTGGTATCATTTGTAGAATCAACAAAGGTAATCTCAGACAAATTTCTGGATTTTTTGTTTTGCCCTCTCTTCTGTATCTAAATCTACATCTGTTACCAGAGAAAATTGTCATTTGCCTCAGTTGCTGCTGTTCAAAAAACAAAAGTGTACATCTAGCCTGAACATGGAGAATTGCATAATGGATTTGAATTTAAGCCAATATGTTACAAGCAGAAGACCCAAAACTATGGCCTGAAATAATGAAATAATTGAAATAATAGTCTTTCCCAGATATGTTGGAATGTCAAACCAGCATTGAAAGTAGCAGTCCTAATACACCTGGAAGGCATATGATTGGAGAATGCTAAACTATCACCTACTTTCATTTATTAGTTTGCATCAAATTATATATATATATATA